ACCACTGGCTGCTCCCACCTTCCCCATTTTATTCCCCAGGAATATTTTCTAGGGCAGCATTTATCAAACCACTCTTCCTAGGGACCCCCAAACGACTCGGCCTGGGTTAGCAATGCCACACTGCAAGGAGCCGAGGGTGTATTTAGCCTCAGTGGGTTTGGCATCGTTTTGCTTGCCTTGGGGGCCAAATTCTGGCAGGCAGCAGGGGAGATGAAGACCTGCCGAAGGGGACAGGCGGGGCACAGCAGCAGGAACGTGCTGGGCTTGCCAGAGACCCTGTACTTATCAGGAGTATGCCAGGAGACATGCAAGGAGATACCTAAAGCTGCCCCATTTCCCATCTCCGACCCTGCAGCATCCCCATGGAGCAGGGAACGGCAGCAGCCTGTGCCGGTGCCCAAGGCAGACCGCAGCTCCCCATGCCTGCAAACCTGCAACCCCCCCGCAGCGCTCCCTCGGCACAAATCTCCAGGTGCGCTTACAGCTCTGATACTTAAAAGATTTCTCTAACCTGCAACAAGATGCAAAAAGTGAAGCGCTATCCAGACAGGAGATGTTGGCCCCTGACACGACACGAACAAGGTACGTAACTGATGCCACCATGGCCAGCAAAGGACAGGTCTGAGTTATCCACCCTCAAAACGACGACAAAAAAAACATGCCAAAGACATGTGTGGCACTTGATCTTTCAGGAAGCCCAGTCTTTTGCTGTGCAGCTTGCTTCTTGTGTCTCAAGGCACTGAAAAAATAGTAATAAAAAAAATAATCACAGCCCAGTCACACTTACTGCTGGAGGTGATTTAGTTTCTCTTGCAAGCACGGGCTCCTACACGGATCGGGCTGGAGAGACGGTGCTGCAGCCAAAACTTCCAGGTCTTCCTTCTGCCCCAGCAGCACGGACACCTGGAGACGCCCAGCCCAGACTCACTACAGATCTCCTCTCTGTGCTGCACGCCCGCTCCGCAGGCTCCGTAGACCTGCTCCTGCCCCAGGGCTCAATCACACAGCTTCAGCACGTCTGCCCACGCTGCGATCCCTCACGGCTCCATCAGTGGGAAACCCACCGCCCGAAGCAGGGCCCCTCCGCGGGCACGGCTGGGGAGGTGGGGTTATCAACACGGCCAGTGGTTATCTGTGCTTCCATTCACACGCCGCCATACATCACTAAAGAGCTGAAAACCTCATTTATTTGCAAGTGTGATACTCATGGCGACGTACTCCTGCCCAAAGGGTTAAAGGCATTCACCGCAGTATTCCTCCATGCCAGACAGCAGAGACTAAACCAGGATTTTTACTTAGCACTACCTCCCAAACTGAAGACCTAGAGCTATTAATTGAGCAAGACGAAGAAATCTACCTCCAGGAGATCAAAAAGATGGGAGATCTCCCCAAAAGAGAAATTTCCTTCAAGGTCTCTCAGTCCGGGCCCATCCCCAAGCTGGAAAAGCCAACCAAAGCTGACCAGGGCTGACCGTGCCATCACGCAATGGGGAAAGAGAAGCCCTCCCCAAGACGCAGAGCCCAGCCCGGTATCTCTTCTCACAGGATGCTGGTGCTCCAGGAATAGCAGAGGTAAGTGAGGATTTGGAGGGGAAAAATACAGAGTATAATGCAAAACCATCACAGCTTGTCTACCCCAGCTCTTCTCGCTTCTCAGAGGAGCCCTGCCGCACCAAACCCCATCCCCTCCTTCAGAGAGAGAAGCGAGACAAATATGCACTCAGCCGGCTAAAGGGAATGACTTTCCCAAACAGATAAAAGGGCTGGCTTGCCAGAGATGTTTATTCTCAGATAAATACTACCTCTTTAGCCTCTTCCTTTCTTCAGAGCAGAAATAGCGTTGCTCCAAGCTGCCCTAACACGCACATAAACAAGCAAGGATTTAATTTCAGCTAAGCGAGAAGTAGAGCATATTTTTGCAGGAGTCCTACCAAACCTTTGCATAAATCTGAGCGTTTCTCTTGCTGCTAGGGCACCTTTTCCATTTCATTTCAGGCTGCTGTCTGCAATGCGATATGGACGATTTCTGGAGGTGTAAAGGAAAGAGCCACAAGGCTGGCAGATTTGCTGAAGAAACAAGGTACGACCCAAGCTCAGCTGTACAACTCTCGTTGCTTCTTGGACCTGTGGAAACAGCTCCAGAAGGATTTCTTTCAGCTGAAAGGGCAAATTTTTCAAAACAGATTTGGGGAAAACCATAAAAAACACCCATTCCCCTCCAAAACTGAGGTGACGCTTTAGCTACCACTAAAGGAATATGACATAGAGCTGATCTGTAAGTTATCATTTGTCCGATTACATTAATTGAGGCTGAGAACAGCCTTCCAGCAGCCTTGCCCCGCTAGCTCCCACCCTCTCAGGCATCATTAGAGTAACTCCAACAACTGACTGGATTAGCAAATTCTTCTTAACCCTGTATTAAAAATACAATAAATAACCCCATGTTTGCAGTCTTAGAGCTCTTTGAGCACGGCCCAAGTATTGCTTAGGCCTCAGAAGTCCCATGGGGATAAGGATTACCGGTAACTCCCTTTTCTCCCAAGGGTAAGGTGACTTCCCGAGACACGTCCTTGTCCCGAGGTCCCTCCTCTGTGCAGGCTGGGGGCTCTCCCGCCCCCGCCGCCTTCCTCCCCGCTGCCGTAGTACAGCTCTGCCGCAGCCTGTCCCAGGAACACCAGTTGGAGAGAGCCCATTTTTCCACAAACTGGAGGAGAGAGAGTTTGCTCCTATTTTCCTGGGGTTGCTCGGCTCAGCCCACAGTGCACAGCAGGACCTGGTGGCAGCCCAGGACTTTGTCCCCAGCACAGACCAGTTTGCTTCCAGAGAGAGCCCATCCCTTCTGCAGGCAGCGGTTCCTCCTGGCCAGTCCCTCCTCCCGCATTTACAGAGCCCCCTCCCTGCGCTCTCAGACTTGCCGAGTCCCCATCTCCATTTCACTCCCTTTCACCAGGTGCTTAAATCACCATTGCGAGGCAGCAGGATCCAAGCACATGCCGGAGCGTGCCGACCCACGGGCTGTACCGTGGTGCACGGCCGAAGCAGAACCAGAGGCCCTCCTCAGAGGATGCTGAGAGCACAGTTGGTGCATGCAGACACACAAACGCAGGCAGGATTTACCACTGGGATGCGAGCGATGCAGAGCACAGCCCAGAGCAGTAACATTTACAGGATATAATGCCTTCACCTGCTTTAAAAATTAAAGGTCTCCTTAATAACATACATTAGCTGCAACGTTATTTCCCAATTTGCTAATATTTACAGGCGAGATGTGGGGCAGAGCCCAGGCCGGCAACTGCTTCTGGGCATCCCACCAAGGTGGCTGAAGATGGGCGAGGGGAGGTGGCAGGCAGGGGACAGGCAGCAGAAGGCACCAGCAGCAAAGCCCAGCTGCGAAATATTGGGATCCACCAAAGCAGATTGCAGTAAACAGAACGGGAACACCAGTATATCAGTTATTATCAACAACCGTTGTACACGTATCCCCTTGCACAAAAAAATTAGGGAACAAAGTCCCAAGCCCTCAGGATTAACCTAAAACAAGACAGTAAGATGATTATGTAGGAACCAAATTTAATCGTGTCCTTTATTTAAGTACTATAAAATAAGAATTCAATCCCATTGGTTTCCCAAGGGCATGCTCAGACCCCATAAAGCTCAAGGGAAAATACTGACATATATTTTGATGGATTGATATCACTGGTTTTTACTCTGAGTGCAAGAGTGAAATTCCTGGTTATACACACAGTCCGAATAGTCAGCAGCCACTGAAACAGCTGCATTTGCCCTTTTAAGTGCAATCTCTCACCTGTTGTCAAACTTAGAGATGAAGCTTCTAATACCAAGTTTAGAAGCAATCATGGATAAAATAGCAGCATCTGACAGTGCATAAAAATTACAGTCTTAAAATAAAATGAAAAATCAAAGCCTTAAAAAACAAGAGATCAAGTTTTGATCTCATTTGTGTTCTGTAGCTTTCCTTCATCTAAAAAACCCTCCACCAACATTTTCCATCCTAGGCAGCTCTCCCAGTTTGAGTCATTTATCAGGAAATTAAAGTTTAAAAGCATCAGGTACATAATTATAAAGGAGCTAAGAGATGAATGAGGGAAAGGAAATCACCCTTAAATAAAATAAACCCCAAACCTTCCATTTCTTTTCAGCGTTGAGAACACCGTCTGTGGGCGCAGGACTGGGGGCAGCTGGAGGAGTGCAATCCCAGCTCTTTGGGAAGAGCACACTTGCTTAGCAGATCTCCTCGGTGCACTAAGCCTTTCCGCGTAACAGCATATCCCAGTGCTCCAGATCTCTACAACGTTCGAAGGCTCATTGCACATTACAGGGAATATCGTGTGGTTCTTCTGTTTTACGACACTGCCCTGACTAAAGCCATCGGTGCTGGCAGGATTTACACTGTGCAAAACCGAGGGGTAAGAAGAGAAGGAAAAAAAGAGAAGGAAAGGCATAGAGAGTGATAGCTTTCACTCCAAAAGCAAGACCTCATCCTCATTTAACTGATATCTGTAGAAATTTTGCTATCAACTCCAACAGGAGCAGGACTGTGTCCCAATATACAGAAGTGCTTTACCCGTGCATTAAATAAAACAGTTGTCCTCTGATATAAAACCTGTTTCCAATGTAATTTTTTTCCTGATGCTTGAAATAGAGAATGCAAAAAAGCAATGAAAAAGTCTCTGGGGCAAACAACCCAGGAGTCCACGTTTGGTTTGCTGCATTACAAATAAAACCACATTCATCAGCCAAGACACTCAACTACAAAGCCCACACGTGAAGCACAAGTGGAGAGCAAGGCACACACAGAGGAGTGCACAGACGCCTTGCATGAGGAACGCAGCTGCCCACGAGGCCGAGCCAGCTCCCTGCCAGCCGTGCTGCCCAAGGACTCGCTCTGCTCCTCACTGCTGCTCTGTTCCTCCTTCCTGGTTTTCTGGCTTCGTCTGTTTTGTATTTTTTGTTGTGGTTTTTTGGGGTTTGTTTTTTTTTTTTTGCTTTGCAGGCCCCAGACTTGGTGATGAGGGCAGATGCGTGCTAGACAACGCCACGATGGGTACAACAGCAGCAGCAGCATGTGAGCGACCAGCCAGCGACAGCCGGGCGGCTTCAGGACGTAGCTTCGTCTTCACACACGTTGGGCAGCTCTGGGTCCCTGCCTCCTTCTCTGCTCCCTTGTTTTCTACATGAATGGCAAGGAAATAAAGATATTATAGGCATATAGCAATGCAAGAAACAAAGCAGGGGGTGTTTTTTCCACCAGGCAACCCAGGTCAACAACATCAGTATTAAGAGGGAGCAGCAATGAACCAGCCTGTTGTGCTGGCACCACGTAAACGGCTCAGCAGTGTCTCAGCTTGATGGGCTGCGGTGCTGTGCAACTCGTGTCTATGCACTTACTTGGTCTCTGCGCCCCAAAGACTGAACTTTGTGCTTCCCTGAACGCCCTTCTCCCGGCTGCAGCATCACCAGGAGGTATCTGGTTCTTGGAGAAATTCTTGCAGACCAGTAGCAATGTTTCCAAATGATCTAATTTGTATATGAGGAGTTCTGGTTTGCTTTTCTTTAATCTGATTTTTTTTTTTTTTCCAAAGGATCAGAGTGATGGCTTGATACCATAACTGCTTCTCCAAGGCCCTGCTGTAAATGGCAGTAAAAACTGAATGCTTCTACCAGAACCCAAGTT